ATTTAAGTCAAATACATGCATGTTTTGTTAGATTGAATATGTTATATTTTGATTTAAATATTTTTATATGTTCAATATTAACAAAAATATTTAGTTGAACGGTTTAGGCAAGTCAATAATTTTTTTCAGTGTATAAATTGAAGGATTTAATATTCATGTTAATTTTGATGACAAAAACACCATAAATATATAATAACATCAACTATTTCGGCATTGGGCTCCAGCGGTTTTTGATACTTCGCTGAACACCTCAAAAGCAATTAATCGCAAATCTTTCGATGATCCTGCTATCATCGCAGGATTTAGCGCGCGTGCTTCGTTTGTAGTAAAATTAAGTTACTGCGCAACGCGAAACTCGATATCGCAATAAATTTGTCCAATCACGAATCAATCATAGAAATTCGCTACTTTCACTACTTCATTTGCGATCGGAAACGAAGGACCTCGTGCTTTGTGGTCTCGAATAATTCTTCCTTCCGTTTTAAGAGCTTGTGCTGATAAGACGTGTACATACGTGAGTATAATTCCTTATAAGGAATTTTCTAGAAAAGTTCGTCGTGATTTTCACTTACTACTTATAATACGTCGCGAATATCGTGAGTATAAAATCGTATCTGGTTCGCGCGAATAATAAAATTTAATAAATGCGTTTTGTGTCGAGTGTCTTTCGTTCGTATTCTTCGGAAAATCTGTGCCATTCGAACAGTCGATCGTTTCGTCGTCATTTTCGCCACGTGGCAAGATTTTCTGGCTTTTGTGCTCAAGAGGACTTTCAGCTTATAAGCTCGGGATATTTGGTAAGTCTTTCTGTATCAAGCGATCAATGTTACAATTAGTGTCGAGAAACTATATTTTTTTGTGTCTAAAATTATACAGGGTGTCACTTATTGGCGTCCATATATAGCGATATTCCTCGTGGAAAACTGAGTCAAAAAGTCCTGAGCCATTTTTTTTATAATGCATAATAAAGCCGTAATTACTAATAATGTTAAGCTATAATAACACTAATCATTATTACTAATGGTAAACCGCACGTGTGGCGGTGTGCGTGAGCGGACGATGTAAGGCACTATGCTTATGGCAAGATGCTATATCCTTTTGCGCGCGCCTTTGACATTTTTGCCTTTTTCTATCTTTAATAATGAAAATTATTATGCATTTAGAAAAAAATGGGTCAGGACTTTTTGACTCATTATCGCTATGTAAATAGTGGGCGCCAATTAAGTGACACCCTGTATATATATTTTTTTATTTTTTGGAAAAATTTTCCATACGAGTTTTATGTGCTATATTTTAAAATTTTAAAATAATTTTAATAAATAATAAATAAAATTAATAAAATTTTAAAATAATATTTTTAATAGTAATAATTAACAATTTTGAATTTACACAAATGCCATTTTTATAGTTTTTATCTTTTCTATAAATATAAAAAGTTATAATAAAGCTAATTAATTTACTAATAAAAATTGTAATTAATATAAAATCTCTTACAGGAACTGGCTTTTGTGTTGCTCAAGAAGATTTTCAGCTCAAAAACAACACCCATCTACTCGGCATATTTGGTAAGTCTTTATACTTACCTGTATCAAGCGAATGTTACAATTAGTGTCGAGAAACTATATTTTTTTGTGTCTAAAATTATATATATATTTTTATTTTTTGACAAAATTTTCCATACTATTATGTACTATAATTTTTACATTTAAAATAATTTTAAATAAATAAAAATTAATAAAATTTTAAAATAATAAAATTTTTAATAGTAATTAAAATTTTGAATTTGTACTGATGCAATTTTTATAAATTTTATCTTTCCTATAAATGCAAAAAAATTATAATAAAGCTATAATTAATTTACTAATAAAAATTGTAATTAATATAAATCTCTTACAGGAACTGACTTTTGTGCTCAAGAAGATTTTTAGCTCAAACAACCATCCATTTACTCGACATATTTGGCAAGTCTTTATAATTTAATTAAATAATATTCTATTTTAATATATTTATTAAGAAATGGCATTTCGAGTCTGTCGCAGATAATCATGCAATTTTTTTTACATTTTTCGTTTCTTTTGAGATTTTGTTTCTCGTCATATTTGTTGTTGGAATCGAAATCATATATATAAATCGTCCTTTAAGGCAGTAATATTAATATAATTCTGGTTCTTTATATACTTTCTAGTTATGTATACACTACAGTGTATACAAGTCAATCAAATAAATTATATATAAAGCTCACTTTTATTTGCCATTTTTATAAATTTCTTTATTTAAATAAATAATAATTTACGTACACCCCGTACGTAAATATTATTTCTCTGAAGAAACTCTGAATTACTCTAAAAATTTTAAAATATCTGAAATGTTTTTAATTTTTTTCAGACAAACTCTGAAAATCTGTAATAAACTCTGAATAACTCTGAGTAACTTCAAATAAACTATGAAAACAATTTGAAAAAACTATAAATTTTTCTTGTAATTGAAACATGTTATTAGAATTTTTCAGAAAATTTTTAGACTTTTATAGAAATTTTTACAAGATTTTTTAGATTTTTTTCAAAATTTGGTACAAAACTTGGTATTGAGAATAATAGATTTTTTTAGATGTTTTTCAGACTTCAAATATTTTTTTGAGATTTGTAAAATGAAGTTAGGAAGATTAAAAAAACACAAAATTCATATTTTATAAAAATTTTATATGTTACGATGGAAAAAGTTATAACAGATTAAACAACTAATCTGAGGAGAGTCAACTACTAAGTACATCATATGTACACGAGATTTCAATAGTGGTTAACTCCTCGAGCTAATTTCATTACAATGTATTTTAAATTAAAATTTAAGATATTGCAACATGTTCTTTGGCAAATAATATAAATATCGCTTTAATAATGTAATTGTATGTAGCAACTGAAAATTTTCTTTTTACTTAATCATAAAATTGAATATAGATAGAAAGTTGCATGTATGTTTTGTAGAAATAAAAAATACTTAATCGCCTCGGCGATCCAATTAGCGATGTGGCTCGATCTCGACACTTCGACTTATTGCGAAAATCCTGAATTCTACGTGTGAACGCGTCAATTACGTGTTGTTTCATGCTGGACGTATCCTTGCATTCTTGTATTATTGCTTTTAGTTTACAAATACCGCGTAGGAAAAGAGAAATAAGTCTTGAAAAGATAAATAAAAAAATTCATACAAATAAAACGCATTTTTCTGCAATTTATATATAAAAAATAATTATGTGTATACATACATTTACAGATATACAAAATAAAAATTAGAAAGTTGCTGAAACTATTTGATTATTATTAAAAAAAATTTTTTTTAATCAAACTGTTTTGCGTATAGAAACTTTTATTACGATCAATTTTATTACAATATAGTATACAAAAATTATATAAAGCAATAATCTTTTGCCTATCACTATTTATATATATATATTTTTATTTTTTTTTTGTACACTAAAAATTGATTTCTTTTATTCTATCCATTTTTTCAAATGATAACCAAAATTTTAATTTTCTAATTATTATTTCGTACATACACATATGTTTCTGTATGTGTGTGTATGTAACATATTAAATATGTTTATAATTGTTGGAATTTTACTCTGAGAGAGAGACAGAGCATGTAAAGCACACCTTATATTTGTTATATAAGAGAAATAATACATCTAATTAGTTTTACATATGTTAATGCTTTAACAAGATAAACACTAAATGTATAATACTTTCTATATGTATAAGACTGTTTTCTATAAGACTGCTGCGCACGGAAAAGCGATCGGTCAGTGAGCAAAACGGATAAATCATTCTGAACCCAAAGAAAATAAATATATTGTATAAGGTATCATAACACACACGTTCGACCTTATACCTTCGCGCTCTACATGAAAATATTAACATCTCATACCGCTTAATTTGAATTGAGATTATTCTTTCTAACAATAATAACAATAATTTATATTTAACACTTATTTAAATAAAGAACATTTTTTTATTTAAATAAAGAATTGTTATATATTTACCAATTTTAATTAATACTTCAACTTTTAATTTCTGCGTAATACGCATTTGTAGGATATTATAAATATCAAAATGATTATACTGTTTATAAAATAATACTTTGTTTCATATTATATGCAATAGATAATAGAAACAAACCAATCGCTTGCTTTATAAAAATTAAAATTGCATTTATTTGACAAAAGTTATTTTTCAATTTATATTCATCAAATCTTTTTATTTGATCTGAGTACGTGTGCTTGCCTATAGAAATTTGAAATCTCGCAATTTTCTTAAAACTTCTTTTTTGGAAAAAGAAGTTTTAAGAAGATTCCGAAATTGTTATTTATACTGCGCTTTGTTTCTTGCGCTTTAGATTATTACTTGCCTATTATTTTGTTATACATATATCATCGTATATTCAGTCAATCTTTATAATTAAAGTCATACGTTTTATACTTTCAAACGTTTCACGTTTTATAAATTCAAGTACATAAAACCAAATTTTAGTTATATATATTTACTTTATTTTATTAGTCACATATTTTAATAATTTGTTCAATTCCTAAGTATGTGAATTGACCCATAGAATTGTCAGAATCTTCCGTTTGTTACTTCATACACAGCAGATGTGGTACTTAAAAATGTTTTTGTACATTTTGGAAGAGTTAGCAATAAAACCTATATCTTAATTATCGCTATGTAAATGAGGTATTCTACATGATACAATCCATTTTCGTATTTCCTTTATTTCATCAAACTTTGAATCATCTTCATCAGATTCTAAATCAAAACTATGCCTTCTTTCATTCATATATTACTCTGAATTAGCAAGGCTATGTCTTATTCTTTCGTCATTTGTATCATTAAAATGATCTGAATTATTTTAAGTAATAAAATTAATATTATTTAGAAATATATATAAATAAAATAAATAGAGTAATAAAATTCTTTGTTAATATACTCACGCATCTTTCATTATGCGATATCTCTTAGTAATTTACTTCTTGATTTGAATCTTTATTTCTTGTAACAGATAATATTCTAAGTTGCTTTAATTGCTCAAGTTTTTTCTTTCTTGCTCTATATTTTTTTACGCAATCACACATTTTTATTAATTTAAGTGATTCACCAAATACACAAAATTGTGTTTACATCAACGTAAAACGAATAACCTATATATGTCATATACCATCACGATCATTGACAACTCAACTGATGAAAACTGATCAGAAATCGACCAAAAATTTTTATTATTATGATAAATATTTTGTGAAAATTTGATCCACATATTGTATAGTAAAACTGCTCTAATTAATTTTGCAAAAAATTTGATCCATATAATTGTATAATAAAACTGCTCTAATTAATTTTGCGAAGATTTGATCCATATATTGTATAGAAAAACTGCTTTTATTAATTTTGTCCAATTGCTATGCAGTTACTATGCAATATTTTTATATATAAAGAGAAATCAGTAATACTAGATAGTAACTAGCCCCGTGTTTAGTCCAACTGCACAAATTTCTACCAGGGTGATTAAAGTGAAATAAAATTTATCCTGTACTTATCTTATACGCATATAACAAATATATGTATATGTACATTTTTTTAATAATTTTCTTATTTGCATTGAAATTATTTCTTACATTACTTTACGTTGTTAATCATTAATATAACTCTAACAAACGCTTCTATTTCATTTTTTATATTTTATCTATTATATTTCATCGATATTTTACTTATATTAATAATTAATATTAAGCTCCCGCACGGAACAAAAACCCTCTAATGGATGTTCAGTAGACGTCCATCATGGAAATTTAAAACCTCCATTAGACGTCCACGTAAACTCTTATGGACTTCTACTAGACATCCATAGTTCCGCATTTGCTATTTCCATTCGACATCCATTAGACATACTCATAGATGTCATATGGATGTAATACAGAGTAATTATGGATATTTCAAAAACTGATGAATGGATAATGGATATACATTAGAGTTATATAGATGATAATGAACATCTACTAGAGATGATATAGATGATTTATGGATGTTTCTAAAATATTTCTAGCTTAATTATTAAGAAGACGATTGGAACACACACAAATGCAAAATTGTAAAAATTTTTCTGTTTTTATTGTTAAAATTAATAAAATCACATATACAATAAAAAATATACAATTAATATAATAAAAATATTTTGCAATAACGCACGAATATATTATAAAAACTTAATAAAAGAAATTTTTACTAACTGATTTGCAATTAAATATTTAATAAAATAAAATACGTTGAACTCTGAAAACTATTTAACTTATTATATACTATTATAATTAATTAATGTATTGGATTGTTCATCTGAAACATACGTAAATTTATTATAATGCTTATTATGTAGGACTGACAGTAAGCGCGAATTAACCAATCATAATGAGAGAGACGAGAAAGAGACTCGCAAAATACTATGATTGATCAATTCGCTTACTATCTAAGTCTTACAATATTTATACTTTCCTTTATGTGTGGCGTACAGTGCTTTAGTTTTTTGAATCTAAAGTTGCGTTCCGATATTTAATACTCACTTCTGAAATCTATATTATTTGTACATATATATGTACCTGTATAATAGTATATATTTTCAGTACTAATAATTAATATTGGAATGCATTTAATGTTTTATTACCGCTTACATCTTTGTGTGTCATCGAGGCAATGTGAAAATTTTATTTATGTGCAATAGCCTTAGGCCTGAGGGCCATTACACGTGAACAAATTTTAGCATTGAATTCATGACACACATGTTAAATTTTTATTTATTTATTTTTTAAAGAAGTCTCAGATCTGCATATATAAGTTTTTGAAACTTATAATTGCGTTTCATCATTGACTTCTATAAAATAACCTGAAAATAAACTAGATGTTTATTATTGTTCACATAAACAAAAATAGTGACAAACAAATTAAAATTATCAAGCTATGTGGTATTAATAAAATAATTGATATATTTTTTACTATTTTATAATAATGTATTTTTTCTTTTATATATTATTAATTTTATAGATCTTTTATAGATTTTTATCTATTATAGATTATTAAGATCTTTATAAATTATTAATTTGAATTTTCCATTGATGAATGGCGATCGGGTGAATCCATTGTTTTCGTCTCTAACGGTCCGCTTTTTTCATTATTGTATCTTGCCTTGGAATGCCTAAACCACTCCATGACTCTTCGTTGTATTTTTGTTCGATCAGAATCCGAGATATTGTGAAGTATGGATCCTGAAAATATTTAATGTTTAATTTTCGAGATATTTCACCGTTCGGTACTTTTTATACACTCTGTATATATATTCAAAGGCATTTTTGTTTATAAATTAATTATTTATAAACAACGTATAAACTTACTGAAAATAACTTTTCATTAACTCTAAATTTTGTAATGGATATTTTCCACGTCGGCCTTCCCAATTGTAATTTCCGCCAATTTATTTGAGAATACTTTATAAAGTGTTCTCTTTACCGCATCATCGACGCCTGTTCCACCAATTGCTTGTATATATATGCGCGCTATAATAAGAATAAAAGTAATATTATTATTAAAGTTAATAACGATCTCTTTTTCTTAACAGCATTTCCAATTATTTTCCATAATACATTTTATTGTGAATTGAAACGTTTACTGAAAATTGATTATGCAATAAACTTATGAATTTTATAATAATTAGAAATATATTATATATAGGGTGAACCCTATATATAATATAGGGATATATAGGGTGATTATAATGTTACAAAAATATCTTGTAACATATGCATTCAATTAAGAAAAAGATTTTAGACAAAAGTTGCAAGTACCAAGGGGGACATATATGATACCATACCAGTTATTTTTTTGCTCTCTTGCTTTTTATCGAAATATATGTAAAGGTCACTTTCGATTTTTTAAATGTTGTTGGGTATCCTTAATTAAAAAAATGAAAGTGACCTTTACATCTTGATAAAAAAAAGGCTAAGCAAAGACTATATGGTCCTATTATATGTCCCTCGTATTAAAACCATGACACTAATTATTGTTATATAAGACATTTCTTCATATGCATATTTTAGGATACATACACGATCTATTCCAAAAGTTCGGGAACTTTTGGGACAGACCGTACATTTTACAAAATTTACAAAGTATCGTTAACGTTTATGAATGGTTCACCCTATGTATTCAGTTACTAAAATATATAGATATGTGCTAACTTACTATTTCAGTGTTCTCTTGGGAATTAGCAGTTTTTAAAATTTCCTCAATTTCCGTTAATTGGGCTCTAGTTTCTAAAGGAAATCGACTTTTAGCGCCTTCGTAAGAAAATCTCGTATTTTCACATTCTGTGCTTCTGTTGCTTTTGTCCACTAAAATATCCAATAGAGATAGTGCTTGTCTCATATCGTATTTTACAGTTGCTATTTCTCTAGTCAATCTCTTTAAATGATCCACTGTAAATAGTATTTTTAATTATTAATAAACGAATAAATGTGTGTGTATATATATCATGTAAATTTCAAAAATCTACATTTTCCGTTTATTAGTAAAACTCTATTAGTATACCGAAATAATATATAGTTTTGTATACTATATATTATCATTTTATATACTATATAAAAGTTTATATGTTATTTCGGTATATAGATAGTAAATAGAGTTTTACTAATAAAAAGAACAAAATGTAGATTTTTGAAATTTATACTACACACACACACACACACAGTAACGTATTATTGTATGCATATAAATGTATGTAATATATATATATATATATATATATATATATATATATATAAAACATGAATTAAAATTGCATTACACATGTTGATTTATCAAGAAATACAGCAGACAAGACGATGTATTATTTTGATATATGTATATAATTATTTTGACAATAAAAAGAATATATATAAAATGTTGCTTTTGAAATTATTTGAAATTAATAGTTTTAATTTTTTTAAATCAATAGTTTTGTATTAAAATATGTATAAATTATAATTATTTTTTTTATTTCTTTCAAATACACACCCACACACACACACACACACACAGAGTTAATACCCAGATAGCACAAGATATCGAAAAGAATTCATTTATATGTCATCAATTTGAGTGAGTCCTTTTCAAATGCATATAAAATTCATTTTAAAAATGAATTCTATACATATAACTATGCATATATAAAATATAAGGCGCATATTTAAACAATTAATTGTAGTGAAACATTACATATAATAGATGCTTTAAAACTATACAATACACACACACACACATACATATATATATATATATATATATATAGTTATGTCGAGAATCTATTATGTATAAAATCATATAATATTTAAAAATTATTGTTAAATATGCCTTATATTTTTATGCATTATATCTTTTATTATATATTTACTTACTAATTGCAGCTTGTGAAGACTGATCTTTTAAATGTTATTTTTCTTTTTCCTCATTTGTATATCGATTTTCTCGCGCATATATGTTTAGATCGATCAACTTCCTTAATTTTATAAACATGTCGATTATGTACTACATTGTTTCGATTTTTTTCTTTGTAACGATGCATGGTTCTTCATCTATTTCGTATGAAGTATCGTTGTCATTTGCATCTGTACATAAAATATTATAAATACATTTAATGTAAACACACTTTATGTAAGTATAGCAGGTATTATTATAATTTCTGAGATATTTTATTAATATTGTTATTATGTATTATTTTAAATGTTTCATGTGTGTATATAAAATTATGGAATACTCTTTTAAATTTTTCAACATAATTTTTAACAATTATTCTTTTTAATAATTAAATACTGTGATATTTTTTTACAAATATGAAATTTTACTTGTATTATATTATTACATGGAAATATGTAATGAATTTACTCACCTTGTTGAGATGATGTGGAGTTCAAGTTTGAAACTTGTGATAATCCTTTGTGTTTTTTTTTGTAGAATCCGAAAAATATATAGTGGAACCTGATGTATTTTCACATTGCTTCATTTGTATTGTACAGTCGTGACAAATATCCGTCGCGTATTTCAACAAAATATCGCCGTAAATTAATTATGTTTGTTCATTAGCAACGACGATTGCAACGACGTTGTTGATCGCACTCCGCTTCGCATTCCTGATCCTCTCTTCCGAAACGGTGGATTGTGTCCGACGCACGTATTGCTATATCAGGAAAGAAGATACTATATATTGGACAGGATAGGAGTTATCCAGAAAATAAGGCAAGTGCATAGTCTATATTTTTTACTAAATATTTTCATTTATATTAAACACAAA